ATCCTACACTGTGCCTTAAAAATACACCTGTTTAAAAAAGTGTAGTCTATTTCTTTAAGAAAATGGTAACTTCTTTTCCATTTTTTTAAATAAACTTTTACCAGTAAAACATTTCACTCATGCCCTTTGTGCTCATCCTTCCTACTAACTCTTGTAGATACATAAAAAAACAAGTACAGATTTTTTTTCTCTCAGTCATTGTGAAAATAATTTGTTTTCCTATGTTTTAATGTTCTTTTCCCCTCGACACAGAGGTAAACAAACTGAATATCTGTGCTCTAAGGGTTAATTTCTGAAGGGTGGGGGTTGGAGGTGGAGTTAAGTGTATGTCTGTGTGTAACTGCACTCTGCAGGATAGAGGGACGCTGAGAGAACATGTTGAGAGTTTGTTGTGTTTAACGGGGTTTAACAGGAGATGTGTCTTTAACAGCAGCTCTTGTTGACATTCTTTGGAAAGTGTTTTGTTGATAAAAGTTCCAAAGAGCACACAGGTGACTTTTGGTTCCATTGTTTAGCATTTGGTGCGCTGCTTCTATGACGTCAGTCGATCAGTGCTATTTTTAGAAAGTGTCCTGGGGGCGACTCAGAAAGTCTCCGCAGGCGACCAGGTGCACGCAGGCACTGTACTGGTGACCCCTGGTTTATAAGTTAACTTTTGCACAACCGTGGGAAGTTTGTGACTGCCTGAAGCCAGTGTCTGACTGGGCTTTAACTGCTTGCATCTGATTTGTAAACTGTTTCTACATGTTGCATGTCAGTGACGTGCAGCCTTGTTGCTTAAATTTTCACAGGGTTTCTCGCTGTGCATTATTACCCTGGTRAGCCGCCAGACTTAGCGTCATTTATTTAGAACCAGCATCATTTTAACTAGTAGGTACAACATTAAGAATGTGATGCCCATCTAGGGATATTTTTGGTTGCTGCAACACTAAGTTGTTTAATTACCATATTTATTTGTGTATAATACGACCTCGTGTATAATACGATCTCGTGTATAATACGACCTCGTGTATAATACCTCATGTATAATACGACCTCATGTATAATATCATCTCATGTATAATACGATCTCATGTATAATACGATCTCATGTATAATACG